TGGGCAGTTTAGGCACACTCCAGCCAATTATTTTTATTTTCCTTTTCTCTCTTTTTTTTTGTCTTCATTCTCAATCTTGGTCTGTCCTTTCGTTGAAACCATTTACAGAGTATTTTTTGTTTTTGTTTTTCTTCATCCTATAATTCAAACGATTTGTATTTTTTGATTTCTTCTTCTTTTTTTCCTTGTTTCCTTTATTATTTGTTGTCCTCTTTCAAGAAATATTTTCTGACATTTCATTTTAATTTCTTCAATAAATTACTCTGTATCTATTATCTTTGACTCATAAGTTATAAATATGTTTATTCTTGAAAAATAAAACATTTTTTATTTATTTGTCCCAAAAATTTACTTTTATTTATGTATAATAGATATTTGTTGTATAACACAACTTTTTTTGTTTGTGCCAGACAATTATTAATTGCTCATTACTCATATTGAAATGTAGTTCTTAGACTTCTTACCATAGATAGAGATGTATCCCATAGAATCAGAACATGGTGGATGAAGTGGAAGAGTGCGTCAGGATTTCTATGCGATCGAGGTATGCCGACTAGACTGAAGGGTAAATTTTATAGGACATCAATTAGGCCTGCTGATGGATAGTGTACCCGGGGGGGTAGCTTATCTGAAGGGTTATTGCGGGGAATAACCTAGAGAGAAGTCAGAGCAAGCAAGTAGGAGAGAGAGTCAAATATATTGAATGAACTCGAGATGTTAGGATCGTTTATAAGGGGAAAAGGGCTGCTATTTATAGCAGTCATAAATGCGATATGAATACACGTGTCAACAATCTAACGGCCGAGGGTCACCTCAATCGGGGTGGCACCGGCATATGCATGTGCACCGCATTAAATGCGGTGGTTGGACGTGACGCCGCATTAAATGCAGTAGTTGCCTGTCCCCAAAGGGAATCTTCGTTGATTGAGATGTAGCCGAAGGCTCCTCTGTGGCCAAAGGCTCCGTGTAGCCGAAGGCTACATATGTGCCAAAGGCGTCTAGGAGCCGAAGGCTCCTATTTTCTGCACTTTTCTCCCAGTATCTTTGTATGCTCGAATCTAGCTGCCTTGTGGAATTTGGAGCCCTCGGCTATAGAGCCGAAGGCTTCTACGTGTGCACCGCGGGCTTCTTCATACTTGGGCCTCCATATTAGGGCTTTGCGTGCACATTGGGCTTGATGGGCCCGTGTAGGAGAAGTAGGAGTCTATGGGTCGGGGTCCCTGGGCCATATACTCCATCAGGAGTCCCCCACTCCTTTTGCCAAAAGGTACTTGAGGGAAAAGGAGTAATTGCGTTGATGCGTTGATTCTGCTGAAGGCTTCTGTTTGTGGGAGACTCCTTCCATTGATCACTTATTTCTGGTGTTTGCCGAGGGCATTCCCTCAGTCCCCCACTGTCCGCACATGTCGAGGGCTGAGGGTTTCTGAGGAGAAGTGCCAATGAGTTGCCCGCATGCGTTGTGATGAAGGCCGCTTTGTCACCCTTGGTACATTTGTGTAGTCTCTTGACGATTTGCGTTTTCCCGAAGGGTATGTTGATTATGTATACCCGCGGGGTTGTGCTTATTGTTGTGCCTGAAGGCTATATGTGTCCTTTGTAGGTTTTTGCGAATTTTGTTCAGCGTTGTCCCGAGGGGTGTATCCCAGTCCCCCACTCCTTTAGGCCGAAGGCTAGTTCGGGGCGGGTATTCGTGTGGAGGAGTGATCTTGTATCATCTTTCCCCTCTTTTTTTTTTTTTTTTTATATTTTTATCCTTATATATAAATATTACTTTATCCTTTTTATTTTATCTTTTATATGTATATTCATCTCTTTTATATTATCTATCTTTTTTTATAATAGCTTATCTTTTTTATCTTTATTTTCTTTCTTTTCCTTTTGGTGATATCATGTTTCGATTCATGTTAGCCGACCCCCATATCGTTTGGGACTAAAGCTTGGATGTTGTTGTTGTTGTTGTTTGTCGCTAATTTGTTTGGGGACTTGATATAATACTGCCGCTAATTGTAAGAGTACACTTGGTGATCCTATTTTTCGCCTAATCCGTCAATTTTTCACTAACACGTAACTTTTGATTTCCCGCGCTGATTTCATAACATTGTTTTGGGTCTGGTCTCTTTCTATTTTTATAACTATCTAAGTCTGGTCTGGTCTGGTCTGAATTGGTCTGGTCTGGTCTCTCTGTATTTTTATAACTATCTAAAAATAATTATAGTATGGTCTAGTCTGGTCTGAACTGGTCTGGTCTGGTTTGATCTAGTCTGATCTGAGACAAATTAGTGTCCAAGTAAAAACATACTTATTCAAATAATTAAAAAGAAATGTCCGAAATATATCTTGGAAGATTAGACAACAAATAATAAAGGAAAAGAAAAAGTAAAAATAATACCCCATAAATAGTTTTACCGAAAAAACAAACAAAGATTAAGAACAAAGATAAAAAAAAGAAAAACAAAATAAGAAACAAAAAAACGGATGGCTGGAGTTGCCTAAGAAGAAAAATGGAAAGAAAAAAAAAAGTTAAAATCCACCAACCTGTCACCAACCGTTGTTATCCGGTCACTTAGGTTTAAATGATCTTTTCAGAATAGTAGACGGGCTTATTTGACCCCTTTTTCCAAAAACAATAATAGTCCAAAATAATTAGTTACTTCTTTCATTTCAAAAGTAACATTCTTATTTGACCTACACATTTTTTGTCAGAAAAAAGTTTTGTTTTGAATTTCTAAACATATCTCTACTTCATATCAAATCAAGTAATTAAAAGTGATGATAAATTGATAATCGTGACATTATTATTACATATTTCATGAATATGGAAAGTTTATTTTAGGGAAAACTGTCAAATAGGTCCTCGAACTTTTATAAAACGGTCAATTAAGTCCTTCTATAGGAGGTTTTGTCCGGTCTTCGCGATTTGGGGCAGTTCCAGGTGGAATTTTTTAATGAAATTTTTTGAGCATCTTATTCACCAAGTCTAGTTTACTCATACCAAATTTCAGCTAAAAATTCAATAGGGAACACATTCAAATTAATTCTTGAAGATAACTGTGCATTTTTGCGTTCTCGAATTAATTTGAATGCGCTCTCGATTAAATTTTTAGCTGAAATTTGGTATGAGTAAACTAGACTTGATGAATAAGATGCTCAAAAAATTTCATCAAAAAATTCCACCGAGAACCGCCCCAAATCGCGACGACTGGACAGAGTCTCCTATAGAAGGACTTAATTGACTTTTTTATGAAAGTTCGAGGACCTATTTGACAGTTTTCCCTTTATTTTAAGATATCAAATAGAGTATACAGGCTTCAATCATAGCCCACACACCCACAAGATTGCACTTTCGCTTAGGCCCCTCAATAGAACGAGGTCACCATAAATGACAAGGACTCAATTAATCACTCATGCTAGCTTCTAATTCAATTTGACAAGATCACTCGTCTAGAGGTCCCCTCTATCACGAAGGGCACATTGCCACAAGCAAGATGAAGGCAACGATACACTCAACCACCTACGCAATGACAAGAGCAATACGCTCCTCGTTCACACATTGAACACATGTATACTACTCCCTCCGTCCCAAAATCGTTGGCCGAATTTCCTTTTTTGGCCGTCCCAAAAAGATTGGTCATTTCCATTTAAAGTAAAGAATATGTGGCTAAAATTAATTCTCTCTCCTCTGCACAAATTTCAACCACACAGTTTTTACTTTATTAATCCACATGCAAGCCAACATTGGCCAACCATTTTGGGACGGAGGGAGTAGCATTTAAAACGATTAACATTTATGATTATGATCACTATAAATATACCCATTTTGAATAATTGTAAGAGTTCAAAAATCATTTATCACAAGAGATCTTTCTCTCTATTAACTAGATTTTCTTTATTTTTAGAATATCAGTGACGGGTTCCGGTATGCTATCAGTATCTAAATAAAGAAAAAGAGAATTTGACTTTGCATCCCATTTTTGGACGAAATTTGATTTCGCACCATAATTTCAAATTGATTTTATGTGTGAATCTCATTTCATTATAAAACTATTTGACTTTCATGCCATTCCTTCATTCTTTTTGGGTTGAGGGAGTGTACACATTAAGGATGTGTTTACTTCACCGCTAAAAACATAACTAAGTTAGTAAGACATGTAAAGTAAACATACATGTAAAGTAAATTCACGTACACATTATGTTATGTTATGTGCGCGAGTTTATATAATTATAGGGTTATTTTAGAAATTTTAATGTAAATCCATATTTTAAATCATGTGGAGTAAATATATGTTTATAACATTGCTTAGTTTATGCACTGTTTATTAACACATGTCTTAAAAAACATTGTTTAGTAGCATGAAAAATAAACTTGTTCTAAGAATTTTGAAAATGAAATGTAAAGTCCAACATCATTTCAAATATGGAGTGGAAAGTCTAATTCTTTATAAAGAAAGTGATTTTTTTGGGAAGTTTTTGAAAGATAAAGAATGTACTTGTTTTATTAGAAAAAAAAGGATGACACCCCATCCCTGAGGGCCCCCAACACCGACCGGACAGCACGATGAGAGGATGTAAGTTGGACTATAATCACAACCTGACAGATAGAGAGTGGGGCTCCGTCCCCGGTACTTGCAGAGACCCTATGCATTTTTCAGCATAGTGACCCCTTATCGTAGTTGCCGGGATTCGAACCCGAGACCTAACCCTTATGGCACTCCCTCGCTACCAGTTGAGCTACGCCCACCAATTGTACTTGTTTTATTAGATGCAAAAGAGTATGGTGGTTTGAGAATAAACGGATATTATAGATTTATACGTAGTTTACAATAGTTTACTGGATACAATACTTGTTTTTTTTAGTTTACTGGATAAATCCATAAAAAGAAAAAAAGTTTACTGGATAAACGGCCTGGATAAAAGTATAAAAATTAGATTTCGAAAAAAAACCTTTGAACTCGGTCCACCCACTCCCTTCCAGTAAACTGGAGGAGCTGTTAGGAATGCCTCAAGCGTTGATTTTCCTAAAGCCATTCGTCTCTCCTCCGTTATCTTCTTCTCTTTTCAGGTTTGCTCGTTTCCTCGGCTCAGCAGTACCAAAAAATTGCTTGTTCAGATTTTTTTTTGTCCTTCTAACATTTGTGTTAAAAATGCATTTGAGTGTTATAATACCTGCCCAGCATCAAATAGCTGCCCTGATTTCATCCAAAGTTAGTTCAGGATGTGGTTTTGAATAACTATCGTGCATAAATGCGCCATTGCGCCAACCATTTCTTTAATAGCATAAATAGTATTCCGTATGCAAATTCTATTTTGTCGCCCCCATATCTGGATGTAGATTCTGGTCTGTTAAGGGATGGCTGACCGTTTGAAACTCAAGAAATGTTCGAGGAAGAAAATAGAGGAAAATATAGGCTATGTTTGGATCCACGAAATTGCTTGGGAAAAGAAATAAAATGCCAGGAAAAGGAAATATGATTGATGCTTTCATTTTTTTCTTACATATTTTAGTTCAACATTTTTCACCAGGGAAACAAATTTGTGGTGTTTGACACTATGCTTTATTTTAGTTTCTTCCCCATTTTCTTTCCCTAGCATTTCCCTTGTTTCGGAACCCAAACACACTGATAGGGAAAGTTTGTAAGAATATGAATTATTCCCTTCATCTCTATATAAAGGTCCCCATTCATTTACACACATTTTAAGAAAACTTTTATTTAGGGACGGCCTGAAAAAGAAGTAGGGACTTTTATTTAGAGACGGAGGGAGTATTAAGCAAACTAAAATATCAATTCAAACACAATAGATTTAGAGCCTGTTTGGTAACACTGAAATCGGCTGAATCGGCTGAATCGGCTGATTTTGCTGAAATTTATGAAGTCCTAGATGAAGTGGCTATATTGGCTTATTTTGTTGATTTATGAAAAAATTATATTTTTTCATCCGACCCCCCTTTACCCCACCGTAGGTGCGAGCCTTTGCGGCACTGGGGTAATGATGATGATGAAAAAATTATATTTAAAAGGTATTTTATTAATGAAATAAAGATTTTTTTTTTTAAACTAGCTAAAATGGTCATCTACGGTAACCTATGTAGCACCGATACCGGTACGCAGAAACGCGGAAACGCGGAAACGGGTACGGGGATACGTCAAAACCAAAAAAGGTAGGATACGGATACGGGGCCATATTTATAAATATTAAAAGTTATGGGGGTGTATTTACAAATACTAAAAGTTATAGGGGTCTATTTATAAATATTAAAAATAGATTTTTTTTAATATATATATATATATATACATATACATATAATATCCTATGATGTCTATCTATTCATTGCTTTGAAGCATTTTCCTTTTTCAAGATACTTAGTAATAAATTCATAATATTTCTCATATACACTAGTCATCTCGAAATATAAATATAGTCAATAAGTCATTAATTTAAAATGAGAAATAAGTCAAACAACTACAATCTTGAAATTAAAAGTGCAAGTATCCAATTCGGAGTATGAGTTAATGACTTAATTCGGATATAGCCATATAGGCCCATTATTTGATTACCAAGTAAAATGTAGTTTTAGATTTTCATTTTTTTAGAATTTTATTAAGTAAATTTTGGGTTTTTTTTAAAAGTTGATACGGGTATCCGTCAGGATACGAGTATCGGAAACTTTCAAAAAATTACAAAAAAAAATGGAAACTTTTAAAAATTGCAGATACGGCCCGGGAACGTACGGTACGGGTATCCTAGAGTATCGGATACGGGAACGTATCCGATACGCCGATACGCTACCCTAGCGAAGTATCCGTGCTTCATAGATGTCGGTAACTTCAACCAATACAGCCAGAAAAGTAACTTCAACCTTACCTTTTCTTATTATTATACAATTCAACGAGCGAAATCAAAAGTTATGCGTTTGGTTAAAAACTTGGCTGATAATCCCGATAAGCCGAAAAACAGAGTCACCAAACGGACTCTTATTTATACTCCCTTTGTCCCTGAAGAACTTCCTTGTTTCAATAACACAGACTTTAAGGAATAACTTTTTTACTTTCTGAAATGTCTTTTTTACTGTGGTTAAATATTACTGTAGAGTACATTGTTTTTTACACGATTTGTCACTAGCAGAGTAAATTGATAGGAATTTTTTGACCAAATAAGAAAAGAGAACTTCATTTAGGCACATCCCAAAAAGAAAACAATAGAGTTCTTTAAGGGACGGGTGGAGTATTGTTTGTTGAAACCTTATGTTTTTTTAATTGTCTCAACTATACTTGGTTTGAAGACTATGAAATTGAAACATGTGTAATAGTTTAAAAATATACTAGTCACATTTCATTTGCATGATCTAGGTGAAACAAAACATGATCAGAAAAATAACATTCCTTTTCTTTTTATTTATTTTCTAGCATTTTGCGGGATCCAAACATAACCTAACCAAAGGCAGAACTGCTTGGGCTGTGATAAAAATGTTGATATATGTTATGCAGTAATCTGAGCATTAATGTGGGCATATTGGGTACAAGCGTGTTGAAGCAGCCCAAAACGGATGTGGTAGTGTGCCAGGGAATGTTGGCACCCAGGAAGTTCTTGCAGAGGAGGAGAAAGAAGGTGGCTGAAGTGTTTAAGAATGATGAGGATGAATTAGAGCAGAGGAAGTGGAGGAGACTAATGACCGAAATTGAGGAAACCGGTTCTGCTGTGACTGTGCTTAGAAGCCTTAGGGCCAAGAATGAGTGGCTCCCTAGGGATCTCATTCTTGGGACGTTGGTTAGGTTCAAGCAGCTCAAGAAGTGGAATCTTGTTAGTGAGGTAGTATACACATTATCTTGTTTTTTTGTAAGTGTTTGCTAATTTGCCATTCTTAGTGGATTTACTTAGAGTAATTATTCTCTAAACTATAGTTTTGTAGTGCCCCTCTTATAGGGTCCTATTAGAACCTAGAAAGCACTAGGCGGAAAACAGAGAAGGAAATAAAATATGAGAAAAGCTAAAGGATAGATCTAGGCATCTAGCTCAATATATTTATTTTAGACATTCATTCAAACTCATTTCATTTTCTTCTTTCTATTATAAAGGCTAAGTTTAAAAAAGAATTAATCGTTTTTTTCTTATGCATTATCTGAGTTAAAACCAAACATGAGAAAAAAGTTTTTCTTAGCATTCTTTTTGGCTTTCCCTAGTATTTCCATAGATCCAAACGTAGCTAAAGAGTTTTGTTTTATTAGCAGAACCAAGAAGCATTTTACATCTGCTTTAACTTCTTAGCTCTTAGGCACATGTTGTTAATTGTTTCATATTTAGATTTATTAGTCCCCATAATAGAAGTAAATAAATAAATTGAGTTTGAACAAATATCTAATTTCAATTATTTGAGTTTTAATTTATCCTTTTACCCCTCCCAACTTTCTATTCGCCACCATATCCTCTCTCTCTCTAGTATTTTCTGTGGTTCAATGGCCTCCTTATTAGTCATGTTTTTTGGAACAACCAAAGCCATTTTACACTTGTTCTGTAATTGAACTTCTTAGCTGTTGAGTTTTTGTGCTCATGTTTTAACTTATATTAACAACAACAATAATTATGGTTTAGATTCTTGAATGGCTTCGAACTCAGCATTGGTGGAACTTTAACGAAATGGACTTTCTAATGCTAATTACGGCTTATGGAAAACAAGGGGACTTCAATAAAGCTGAAAGGGTTCTGGGCTACATGAATAAGATGGGATATCCACAAAGCGTGATATCTCATACTGCTCTCATGGAAGCATATGGCCGTGGTGGTCAGATCAGCAAGGCAGAAGCAATATTTCGAAGAATGCAATCTTCGGGTCCCGAACCTTCTGCATTAACATATCAAATTATCCTCAAAACCTTTGTTAAGGTATTTATCTACTGTCTCTAATTTTGAGCCTGTTGGGGATAGCTTATGATGCAAGTCCTTTTGACGCTTTTTCATTTAAGCATTTTAAGTGCTTTCTTCTGAAATTAGCAATAAATCATCATCATCATCACCCCAGTTCCGCAAAGGCCCCACCTACGGTGGATTAAGGGGAGGGGTCAGATGTAAGTAGTCTTACCTCTGTACTATAGCATGGAGAGACTATTTCCGGATGACCCATAGTGAAAATCGCGTCGAAAATTGCATAGACTGACTGTTGCTTCATAATAAAGAAGCGCAGACAGTTTAGTGAGCCATTTTGCTTTATTCCATCATATTCCCAAGCCAAAAAATAGTGAGTCTTTGGCTCCATTGCAAATGATGGAAATTGAAATTAGCAATAAATGTGTCTTTTAAATGTTAAAACACGTTTCTTTTTCCCTACGAAATGCTTCTTTCTGAAGTAAAAGTACCTTTTTCCTGTCCAAAATGCTATGTTAGAATTCACCTCTACCTGGCACCTGCAAAGGCTCCCACCTACGGTGGATTAAGGGGAGGGGTCAGATGTAAGTAGTCTTACCTCTGTACTAAAGCACAGAGAGACTGTTTCCGGATGACCCATAGTGAAAATCGCGTCGAAAACTGCATAGACTGATTGCGCTTCATAATAAAGAAGCGCAGACAGTTTAGTGAGCCATTTTGCTATATTCCATCATATTCCCAAGCCAAAAAATAGTGAGTCTTTGGCTCCATTGCAAATGATGGAAATTGAAATTAGCAATAAATGTGTCTTTTAAATGTTAAAAACACATTTCTTTTTCCCTACGAAATGCTTCTTTCTGAAGTAAAAGTACCTTTTTCCTGTCTGAAATGCTATGTTAGAATTCACCTCTACCTGGCACCTGCAATCTCTTCATTTATTTAGGAAAATAGATATATCATCAAGTATGTGTAACTTGTTTAAATTATGAATTTGAATTTTATGAATTACTCTGGTCTTTTAAAATGGGAGACATACTGGATAGGATGGTATTTCAGGGTAACAAGTACAAAGAAGCTGAAGAAGTCTTTGAAACTCTTTTAAACATGGAGGCTCCTCCACTAAAACCAGACCAGAAAATGTTTCATATGATGATCTACATGTACAAGAAGGCAAAGGACGATAAGAAAGCTCATCATGTATTCACTCTAATGAGTGAGCGGGGGATCCCACAGAATACAGTCACGTATAATAGTTTGATGTCATTTAGCAGCAACTATAAGGAGGTTTCCAAAATCTATGATCAGGTTTTGTTTGTTTAGTTTTTTCTTCCATCGAATTTCTGTTATTTCTTGTGCACTATGGCTTCAAAGAAAATTTATGAGATTTCAGATGCAGCGAGGTGGTCTTCAGCCTGATGTAGTAAGCTATGCCCTATTGATTAATGCATATGGAAAGTCTAGAAGAGAAGAAGAAGCATTAGCTGTTTTTGAGGAAATGCTTGATGCTGGTGTTAGGTAATTTTAATTTTACAGTTTAACTCGTGATGAATTATTTCCTGATGTTGGAAATTACATGTGGTAGTGTTGTTTTTGCATTCTCTTTTGAGTAAATTGCACGTGGTAGTTTAGCTGGTTAAATGGCTATAGAGCTTAAATAATATGATAGCACAAATTAATAACCTATATTATGTTTTTTTAAGTGCATAACACTTTTGTACTTAATGTCAGGCAACACAATCGTAGTTCACCTAAGTTAATTAGGCTATTGGTTTAATTTTTACAAATATATGACATAAACTTAACTGCACATATTTAAAGTTGTACATACACCCAAATATTTCTAAAAAAAAAGCACCAAATATCTTACAAAGAATGACAATAAAAGTAATAGCAATAATAAATAATTATAAAAAAATGAAACAAATTAATTGCTCCTCATTGGAGGTATGAAGTTGTTCCACTTCATGGATCTCACCCATTCACATCAATGCATGTAAAACACCCAATTACAGTGTGGTGATAGTATCATGTATGAATAAATTCTCAACACAACATTAGGTCACACAGCAAATATTAAACAGGTCGAGAAGTATATTTTATGTACTGTATATGAGTAAGCCTTCTTATAGTCTTATACTGTTTAAGTGGTTATGGTTCAGCTAATATATATTTTTCCGAAAAAATTGTGAACCACCTTTCTGTTTTTTTCTCATTGCTTTAATCATGAAACTAAAACACAAGTATGCTTTTCTTTTCAGGCCAACCCAGAAAGCTTATAACATTTTACTAGATGCATTTGCGATCTCCGGGATGGTGGAACAAGCTCAGACTGTGTTTAAAAGCATGCGAAGGGACCAGTTACTTTTACCTACCACGCTAATTATTTTATCAGGCTTCCTACATTTTCATAAACTATTAGGCATGTTCATCTGTCAAGGAAAGAAAATAGGAAGAGAGATAACATTTATTTCCCTTCCCTATTTCCCTCAGGTGATTCGGAATGGAAGAAAATTAGGAGGGAGAGGAAAGAAAGAGAATTTTGTAAAATACCTTCTAACTCTTATTGTATAAACTAACAATAAATCTTATAGTGACAGAGAAATAGTATACTCAGTATACTTCGTGTTTGTTATGAATAGCAAATTTATTATTAATTAAAAATTAAAATACTATTCTCCGTATTTTTTATGAATACCAATTTTTTTATTGCCTTTCATATTTTCTCCCCAAATGAGAGGAGAACAAAGGCTATTTTTCATTCCACTCATCTATGGTTCCCAACAAAAGGAAAATCACACTTTTCTCTATTTTTTCCTCATATTTACTTTCCTCCCATAATTCCTTCTTTCAAGGCATATCCTAAAAGCAGAACAATGAAAACTTTGGCAAAAGTTGAAGTGAACTGATTTTATGCTATTGTGTGAATTTCCAGCTGTAGCCCTGACCTATGCTCCTACACAACTATGCTCACGGCATACATAAATGCTTCAGACATGGAAGGTGCTGAGAAATTCTTCATAAGAATTAAACAAGATGGATTTGAACCCAATGTTGTCACATATGGGACACTCATCAAAGGGTATGCAAACACAAACAATCTTGAGAAAATGATGGAAAAATATGATGAAATGCGGATTTCTGGCATTGAGCCCAACCAAACTATCTTTACAACGATCATGGACGCATATGGTAGGAATAAGGATTTCAGTAGTTCTGTTTCTTGGTTCAATGAGATGGTGACATGTGGCATCCAACCTGATCAGAAGGCAAAGAACATTCTTTTGTCTCTTGCTAAGACAGTTGAAGAGCAGACAGAAGCTAATGAGCTTGTGGGAAATATAAACAGGGAGATGATGGTTGAAAACATCCCTTGCTATAGTAATGAAGATGATAACAAAGACGAAGATGATTATGAAGACGAAGATGAAGAAGAAGATAGAGAAGACGTTGAGGGTTACAGTCATAGCTCAGCATAAGAAGAAGATAGATAAGACGTTGAGGGTTACAGTCATAGTTCAGCATGTAAGTCAAACGAAAGTATTAGGTGCAGTGTGAGTGTCTAACATGAGGTCTAAACTATGTATTGTAAGTTTCTCATTTCTATTTACTTGGGAAATGCGATTTTCTTTTAATGCGAATTGTCCAAGTGATTTCTGTTCTCCATGTATAATCTGTCTCAGTTTTGCAGTTTATATCAAGAGTTTTCAATAATATATGCACTACTTTAAAATCTTTATTATCATATTACTTGCGCAACATTATAATTAAAATTGAAAATGCACAATGGCAGGGCAAGGCAAACTTTGGGAGGAGCTTGTGCTAATTACAATAATTAGGCGTTATCAATAAAATATGGCACAGTTTTGATGGAGAAATATGATACAATCACATATAAATACTAGAGTACTTTTTAAAGTTTGCTTTAAAAAAAAATGAGCATGTATATTATGAGCCCATTTGGTAACCATGATTTTTGGTTTCCGTTTGGTAACCATGATTTTTGGCTTTTCAGGCTTATCAGCCCCGTAACTAGGCATGGACCCGGGCCGGGTCGGGCCCGGGCCGGGTCAAGGCCCGGTCGGGCCTCGGGTCCTATAAGGGTAGGCCCGGGACCGGCCCGGTCAATGACCGGTTCCGGTTCGGGCCGGGTCACCCGCCCGGGTCACGGGTCGGGCCACCCGCCGGGCCGGGCCGGGCCAATAATTTTTTTTTTTTAATTAATTATATATTATAACAAATTGCTATTAAAAACAAAGTTCAAGTGCATTTATTTGAAATAAGAACTACATTTGAGAATTGAGAAAAAAATAACAATACGAAATACATTTTGTAAATTGTAATGAATATCAATTGGGATTTCCGCCACCGTTGGTTGTTGTTTTCCCTTTGTCACAGGACTTCATATGTTTTATTGGCATCCCGTATCCGTATGAACGCCCCAAGCAACAGTCTTTCTTGCACCACCTGCAAGTTGCCCACCACAGTCCGGTCTTCGGGTCCTTCCACTTGTCAAAATTGTTTTGCATAAGGGAAGATGTACTTTCCATATTTAAAATGGTATATGTATAACAGTATAAGTAATTAAGTAGGAATGTAGGATAATAAGAGAAGATGAAGATGGAGAAGAGTTTGAGAAGAATTGGAGAAAAGGTGTAGAAAAATGTTAGAAAATAGATGTATTTATAGGTGTTTTTGAACCCCACTCCCCACACCACCACCCCCGGGACACCCCTGCCCCCCACCCATAGCCCCAACGGCTATATAGCCGTTTGGGAGCTTTGAATTTTTTTTTTTTTAAGTTATACACATATATATTGTAAAATAAATTAATTAATTTAATGAATTAAGTAAAACTAAAACAAATGTTACAAAATAGGTGTATAAGTATTTAAACAAATTACATATTCTAAATGTATTTTTAATTTAAAAACCGGCTTTATATTTTAGAAAAATAATTTTAAGTCGTTAGATTGTAACCAATTAATTAATTTGAGAAGTGCTACATATGAAAAAGTGAACACATATTTATTTGAAATATGAAGTACAAGTTTACAAATTAATTTGAACTACAACTACAAATTTACAATTTTGAAATATGAAGTACAAGTTTACAATTTTGAAATATGAAGTACAAGTATAAATAAATTTGACAAGTGCTATAAAATACATTTTGTACTAAATTCTAAAATACTAATCAATCGGAATCTCCGGCATAGGTAGAGCCACCATCGGTTGTTGAGTCATCCATAAAATCTTGGGAGGGGGTGATGCTCAATTCTTGAGTTCTACGTGCGGCCTTCAACCAATCGTGGTAGCATATAAGCGTCTCAAGAGACTCCGCGCTCAATCTCGATCTAGATGCCGTTAGGACGTTGCCGGCCGAACTAAATTCTTGTTCCACCGCAACTGTTGAAACCGGCATTGATAGTACTTGCTTAGCCATCCGTGCTAAAATCGGGAACGTTCTTTCTTTTGACTTCCACCAGTCTAGAACGTCAAAGTCATCATTTTCTTCAAAATCAACTTCATATGTTAAATACAAAGTAATCTCATTCAATGCGCTTTGTTCAGTGACGTGAGTTGTTTTAGTTTTTTTCATAAGATTGCCAAATGCAGATTTAAAAATCGATTTTCCTTTAGATGAAGATGTTCGTGACGGGGGAGGGGGAGCGTTGCTATATTGTGCACGAAACTCATTAAATAAGGCATAAAATAAAGTACTAACCTCGTTGTATTCCGTTTTCGGATCTATGGGGTTATCCTCATACATTGGAAATTCACCGAAAAACGCAAGATAATAGAAGTTGAAACAATCTTCCAAATTAGCAAGTCTATAACGAGGATCGAGAATAAATGCAATACCATAAATATGGGGAATATGCGCATAATATTTTAAAAACTTTTCCTTCATATGATCACAAAAATAATGAACGAAAACGGCATTTTGAAATTCTTTAAAAGCATCGGCGAGATTAACAGCTTGTGGAATAAATTGGTTTGCGGTAGGTTTATAAACATGACTAAAAGTTTCAGTAGCATTAAAAAAATATATCAAAACATTACAAATTTTTTCGCAAGTGTCGATCTCAGCCGCGTTTATAATATAGTTATCATGTTCTTTTAAAAAAGCAGGAAAATGTTCTTTATATCTAAGAACAACTTTAAGTAATTTATAAGTACTATTCCAACGAATACTCAAATCTTTAGGAAAAGCAACATATCTCACACCTCTTTCAGTCAAATAACTTTGCCATTTTAATCTAAGTTGACCATTACCCCAAATACGTCTAACCCCCCCCCCCCCCCCTTTATTACCTCCATGGAATCTCCTAACGCTTTTAAACCGTCTTGCACACATAAATTTATAACATGACATGCACACCTGTTGAGGTTTATTCCTTCAACCCTTGGACCCAACACGTAAGCCCAAAGATTTCGAGTGGAGTGAGTGTGTGGTTATCTAGCCCAACAACTATCAGATGAGTCAGGAAACAAGAGTAATAGCAGGCAATGTAAATAGGTATTATTAACTTCGTAATAACTCCCCTAAGTACAATCTACTTGCTAAAAAGGGCACGTCGGCCGTTCGTCTTACAAGGCGATAGAAATGCTACTCGTAAGAATGCTGGAGCTAGTATGCTAAGAATAGAAAGTTGCCAACCCTTTACAATGAAATAAATGCTTCTATTTATACCCGCCAATGGGCAGGTGGCTGTACTGACGTGGCAGCCTGTGGACCGCTGGTGTCCCAACTACCAAATCTTTAGCATTAAATGCACTTCCCGCCAGAATCTAGGTTTCCCGCCGGATCAGTGGGGACGTTCGTCCACCCCGGAAGTGAGTTGGATTGCTCCAAGTGACCTTTGAGGGATATCGGCTGTTCGTCGCCTGGCCTTGATGGATTCTCACCATGTGACCTTTGAGGGATAAATACTCACTATGTGCACTGGGTTTTCCCCGATGACCACAGGCTTGCTCCGGGGACGTTCGTCGCCATCCCCGCTGGCCCGTGGTTCTGCTCTTTGTCTCTGCACAGACGTTCGTCGGAATGAGCTGCTGGGCCTGAGTCCTCCAACACCAGACGTTCGTCCATCCTCAAGAGACATGGGCCTGTGGGCTGGCCTGGTTTCTAGCTGGACGTTCGTCTGGCAAAATGGGTTAGTGGGCCGGACCTCGGCTTGGGCCCTTAACCCAACACAAGTCCCCCACTTCTGATGTTCTGAGCATGCGCAGGACATAAGGAAGTATGAACCCCCCCGAAGTAGACGTCCGTATCTTGATACTTATGTTTATTGCATCTGGTGGAAGCGTACACTCGTGGTCATGGTGCTTGACAGCTGTCGCCGGTTCAGGAAACGAGGTGACGGCTGATGTTGCGGCGGTGCATTTTCCCGAGGAGGTGTCATCATTACGTTCCCATCCCACGCACAGCGCGTGGCCGGGGTACGCTCCTTGCCACGTGTCGGCCCCTTGTTGGCTTCGCCATCGGTGTTTTCTCCTTTAAATACCGGGTTTTCCCTCTGAATTAGGGTTCCCAATTTCTGCCCTCTTGCTCCCGATTTTCCGCAGCTCTTCAAGTCTTCTTCTGAATCCGGCTAACCCCTCTGTAAGGTAATTTCCCCCCTCTGCTCCTTTTCTTGTTCTGATTCCTAGCCGAGATGACCTCGATGGAGATTTCGTCAAGCTCTGATTCCGGTTCGTCGGGTTCCTCCTCGGGCTCCTCTTCGGCCGATGTGAGTGCTCGCTCCCCCGGGAAGGCCAGCATTTCTGGGACCTCTGGTTCAGCCACGACGGTGGGGACCATCCGGGCTGATGGCGAGCCGGATAATGTGTCGCAAAGTAGTGGGAGCGACGCCGGGGACGGGGGTGCTGACGGGGCCGTAGATGTTATTGACGCCGTCCCCCTGAACGAGCGCCCCGCCGGTTATGATTCTGCAGACGAGGCCCAATCTGGCTCCGACCTGGAGGTGCACGATTTAGGTATTCCCATGGATGTGCAGAGGCACATTTGCAAGATTAAGAGTGTCTTAGAGCACAGGCAGTCCCTCTCCAGCGTCGCTATGAACAAGATTGCTTCCTTCTTTCCCCATCCGTTCGTCTTTAGCCATAGCGGGGCCGAACATGCCATGCGGCGACGGCCGGGGATGATCATCCTGCATGTGGATTCTGTGGAGGCCGGTCTGCGGTTCCCTCTCCATCCCTTTTACGTGGAGTTCTTCAACTGCTACCAGGTGGTTCCGGCGCAGTTCATGCCCAACTCTTATAGATTTATCTCCGCATTCCTCGTGCGCTGTTCGTCCGCAAAAGCCGTCATATCGCTGGATCTGTTCCACTACTTCTACCGGGTCACCCCGCAGAATTCCGATGGTTACCTGAGTGTGGCCGCTCGTCCGAAGAGGAAGCTATTTGAGCACTATCCTTCCTCCATCCATGATTGGAAAAATAGGCTCTTTTTTCTTAGATATGACGGTCCTCCCCTCCCAATCCGGTGGAACGGCTACCCTCCGAAGATTGAGTCGCCGGCGCTGTCGGCCGGGCTGGAAGTGGAAGTGAAGAAAGTCCTGGAAGGCGGCGTTCGCCCTATAGGGGAATACCTGACCGTCGAGGCACTCTCTGAAGCAGGCATAGGTACCGCCCGTGTTCCTGGATTTCTTCCTCCCTTGGACGCTCGTCTCGGGGCACGGGCGGTCCTGTCCTCTGAGGTGGGTGTTCCTCCCTATCCCTGTTCGTCTTTTCATATTC